AAAACCTCTCAAAAAAAAAAAAAAAAAAAAACCACCAAAAACCTATTTAAGGCCCGACCTCTGTGGCACAACTGGTAGCATGCCAGACTGCAGAGCTGGAAGCCCTATATTGACTGAGATTTGAGTCCTGGGCCTAAGTGACCTAAAAACATGCTGGGTATCTACAATTGTGCCCAGGGTCCCAGTGGGCTAGAAGACTGGAAGAAGCCATGGCCAAGTCCTGTGGAAGGTACTTCTCTCTCTCTCACAGACACCCTATTGTGAATCAAAAATATATATTCTAAAAACTGTTTCAAATAAAAGTTTAAAAGAATAGACACAATGAATCATTTTAAGGGAAAAATATTTTTATAACCAAATAAATGCCCGATACTACCTGTTTATATACCATCTATATCTACACACAAGGGGTCTTCAAGAATTTTATGGAAATGTATATTATGGAAAAGAAAACTATGCATGAATTTCACATTTTTGCACCACAATAAACTTGTACTTTAATTTTATTTTTATGAACTTCTCGAAGTCCCTTCATGTAGTTATATAGATATCTATATCTATGTAAAAAAAAAAAAACAACAACAAAACTTGCCATGTCACTTGAAGATGTAAGCCTCAAATTTTTCAAAATTCCTTGAAGTATTCAAATATTTGAATATGTTATTCAACATTGTTCATTTTTTTGGTTCACATTTTATTAAGGAATTGTTTCCTCTCAAAATAATTCCCCTCTCTGCTATTTCTAATATTGCCAGATAAACATGAGGGCTGTAGACGGTCCTTTTTTCAGGAACAATGCTCATCGCTGAGACAATTTTATTCACTGAACACAAAGAGAACAGCTGACGCTTCAGAGACATTGCCTGGAGCTGCCGTTGTGAGGGCCAAATTGCTGAGTACCCATAGCTTGCCATGGGAGGATACTCTCCTGCTCTCTGCTCCAGAGGACCTCAGGTCTTCTCACATTGCAAATCACTGCCAGGGGCTGCTCTTGAACCAATATGTTCATTTGCATATGGACTTGACCAACTCCTTCCCTTAACAGAGTCTGTACTAGAGCTAATACAAAAGTCACATTCAGCAGAGCAGCTTCCTATTTTAACTTCTAAAATTGTATACCAGGTTTTTATTTCCATTTACTAATTTTTTTCTTCCCACACAATTGTAATATCTTGAAAATTCTCCAGCTTATAGAAAAATTGTAAGAATAATATCGTGAATACCAGTATGT